AACTCCAGGATCCATTTGCTGGACGCAGCCCGTTTAGATCCTCCTGTAGTTCTGCCTGGTCCTCGTCCGACTGAATTCTTATTAACTTCACGTCATCTGCAAACAGGGACACTTCGGAGTCTATTCCTTCCGACATGTCGTTCACAAATACCAGAAACAGCACCGGTCCTACGACTGATTCCTGTGGCACTCCGCTAGTTACAGGCGCCCACTCTGACACCTCGCCACGTACCATGACTCCCTGTTGTCTTCCTGCCAGGTATTCCCTGATCCATTGTAGTGTCTTCCCTGTTATCCCTGCCTGGTCCTCCAGCTTTTGCACTAATCTCTTGTGTGGAATTGTGTCGAACGCCTTTTTACAGCCCAAGAAAATGCAATCTACCCACCCCTCTTTCTCTTGTCTTACTGCGGTCACCCTATCATAGAACTCCAGTAGGTTTGTGACTCAGGATTTCCCATCCCTGAAACCGTGCTGGCTATCGTTGATAAGCTTATTCCTTTCTAGGTGCTCCAACACTCTTTTCCTGATAATTTTCTCCATGACCTTGCATACTGTACACGTCAGTGACAATAGTCTGTAGTTTAATGCATCGTGTCTATCTCCTTTTTTTTAAATATCGGGATTACACTTGCTGTCTTCCATACTTTCGGTAGTCGCCCTGTTTCGATAGATGTGTTGAAGACAGTTGTTAGTTGTACACAAAGCACCTCTGCTCCCTCTCTCAGGACCCATGGAGAGATATTATCCGGCTCCATCGCTTTGGGGCATCTAGCTCCCTTAGCAGCCTCTTCATTTCTTCCTCGGTTGTATGTATTGTGTTCAACACTTGATGGTGTACCCCACCTCTCCGCCTTTCTGGAGTCCCTTCTGTCTCCTCTGTGAACACTTCTTTGAATCTGTTGTTGAGCTGCTTACATTGCGGTCATTTTTTTGTAACCTCTCTTCTTCCTCAGCCTGATTACCTGGTCCTTGACTGTTGTTTTCCTCCTCGTGTGGCTGTACAACAGCTTTTGTCAGATTTAGCTTTCGCTGCTATGTCATTCTCGTTGTGTACTCACCTAGTTGTACTCACCTAGTTGAGGTTGCAGGGGTCGAGTCCAAGCTCCTGGCCCCGCCTCTTCACTGGTCGCTACTAGGTCACTCTCCCTGAACCATGAGCTTTATCGTACCTCTGCTTAAAGCTATGTATGGATCCTGCCTCCACTACATCGCTTCCCAAACTATTCCACTTCCTGACTACTCTGTGGCTGAAGAAATACTTCCTAACATCCCTTTGATTCATCTGTGTCTTCAGCTTCCAACTGTGTCCCCGTGTTGCTGTGTCCAGTCTCTGGAACATCCTGTCTTTGTCCACTTTGTCAATTTCCTCTCAGTATTTTGTAAGTCGTTATCATGTCCCCCCTATCTCTCCTGTCCTCCAGTGTCGTCAGGTTGATTTCCCTTAACCTCTCCTCATAGGACATACCTCTTAACTCTGGGACCAGTCTTGTTGCAAACCTTTGCACTTTCTCTAGTTTCTTTACATGCTTGGCTAGGTGTGGGTTCCAAACTGGTGCCGCATACTCCAATATGGGCCTAACGTACACGGTTACAGGGTCCTGAACGATTCCTTATTAAGATGTCGGAATGCTGTTCTGAGGTTTGCCAGGCGCCCATATGCTGCAGCAGTTATTTGGTTGATGTGCGCTTCAGGAGATGTGCCTGGTGTTATACTCACCCCAAGATCTTTTTCCTTGAGTGATGTTTGTAGTCTCTGGCCCCTAGACTGTACTCCGTCTGCGGTCTTCTTTGCCCTTCTCCAATCCTCATGACTTTGCACTTGGTGGGATTGAACTCCAGGAGCCAGTTGCTGGACCAGGTCTGCAGCCTATCCAGATCCCTTTGTAGTTCTGCCTGGTCTTCGATCGACTGAACTCTTCTCATCAACTTCACGTCATCTGCAAACAGGGACACCTCGGAGCTTATTCCTTCCGTCATGTCGTTCACAAATACCAGAAACAGCACTGGTCCTAGGACTGACCCCTGTGGGACCCCGCTGGTCACAGGTGCCCACTCTGACACCTCGCCACGTACCATGACTCGCTGCTGTCTTCCTGACAAGTATTCCCTGATCCATTGCAGTGCCTTCCCTGTTATCCCTGCTTGGTCCTCCAGTTTTTGCACTAATCTCTTGTGTGGTACTGTGTCAAACGCCTTCTTGCAGTCCAAGAAAATGCAATCCACCCACCCCTCTCTCTCTTGTCTTACTGCTGTCACCATGTCATAGAACTCCAGTAGGTTTGTGACACAGGATTTCCCGTCTCTGAAACCATGTTGTCTGCTGGTGATGAGATCATTCCTTTCTAGATGTTCCACCATTCTTCTCCTGACAATCTTTTCCATGATTTTGCATGCTATACATGTCAGTGACATTGGTACTGTAGTTTAGTGCTTCATGTCTGTCTCCTTTTTTAAAGATTGGGACCACATTTGCTGTCTTCCATGCCTCAGGCAATCTCCCTGTTTCGATAGATGTATTGAATATTGTTGTTAGGGGTACACATAGCGCCTCTGCTCCCTCTCTCAGGACCCATGGAGAGATGTTATCTGGCCCATTGCCTTTGAGGTATCTAGCTCACTCAGAAGCCTCTTCACTTCTTCCTCGGTTGTGTGTACTGTGTCCAGCACATGGTGGTGTACCCCACCTCTCCGTCTTTCTGGAGCCCCTTCTGTCTCCTCTGTGAACACTTCTTTGAATCTCTTGTTGAGTTCCTCACATACTTCACGGTCATTTCTTGTTGTCTCTCCTCCTTCCTTCCTTAGCCTGATTACCTGGTCCTTGACGGTTGTTTTCTTCCTGATGTGGCTGTATAACAGCTTTGGGTCAGATTTGGCTTTTGCTGCTATGTCGTTTTCATATTGATGCTGGGCCTCCCTTCTTATCTGTGCATATTCGTTTCTGGCTCTACGACTGCTCTCCTTATTCTCCTGGGTCCTTTGCCTTCTATATTTTTTCCATTCCTTAGCACACTTGGTTTTTGCCTCCTTGCATCTTTGGGTGAACCATGGGCTCATCCTGCCTTTTTCATTATTCCTGTTACCCTTGGGTATAAACCTCTCCTCAGCCTCCTTGCACATTATTGCTACATATTCCATCATCTCATTAACTGGCTTCCCTGCCAGTTCTCTGTCCCACTGAACCTCATTCAGGAAGTTCCTCATTCCTGTGTAGTCCCCTTTCCTGTAGTTTGGTTTCATTTGTCCTGGCCTTCCTGCTTCCCCCTCCACTTGTAGCTCTACTGTGTATTCGAAGCTCAAAACCACATGATCGCTGGCCCAAGGGGTCTTTCATATGTGATGTCCTCAATATCTGCACTACTCAAGGTGAATACTAAGTCCAGTCTTGCTGGTTCATATCCTCTCCTCTCTCTCTTGTAGTGTCCCTTACGTGTTGGTACATGAAGTTTTCCAATACCACCTCCATCATCTTAGCCCTCCATGTATCTTGGCCCCCATGTGGCTCCAAGTTCTCCCAGTCGATCTCCTTGTGGTTAAAGTCACCCATGATCAGTAGCTTTGCCCTGCATGCATGAGCTCTTCTGGCCACTGCAGCCAGTGTGTCAACCATCGCTCTATTGCTCTCGTCATACTCTTGCCTTGGCCTCCTGCTGTTCTGTGGTGGGTTATACATCACTGCAATTATCACCTTGGGACCACCAGAGTGAAGCGTTCCCGCTATGTAATCACTTTCTTCTCTGCTGTCTCCTCTCTCCAGCTCATCAAAATTCCATCGGTGTTTGATCAGCAATGCCACTCCTCCACCCCCCTGTTCCTTCTGTCTTTTCTCAGGATCTGGTATCCCGCTGGAAAGATGGCATCTGTTATCATACCTGTAAGCTTGGTTTCTGTGATCGCTATGATGTCTGGTGATGCCTCTTTGACTCTTTCGTGCCACTCCTCCCACTTGTTTGTTATTCCATCAGCGTTTGTGTACCATACCTTCAGTTTCCTTTCCAACACTGTGGTTTGGGGGGCCTGTGGGGGTGGGAGACCTGGTAGCTTACTGTGGGATTCTATGGTTGGGGGTTGGGTGGAAGCTGTGGGTATGGATTGTATTGTGTGTTGGGATGGTGTGATAGGTTGTGGGGTTCTGAGGATAGTTGTGTGCGTGCTTGCCCTTGCTGCTCTGTTCTGGTCTGACTGACCTCTGCTGGTTCCATCCTTGTCTCCTTTCCTAGCTCCTTTCGCTTTTTTGTCCTCTCCCTCAGCTGCTGTCTCTCTGTTCGTGTTCTGTCTCTGTCTAGGAACACCTTCTTGTATGTGTGTGTGTGTGTGTGTGTGTGTGTGTGTGTGTGTGTGTGTGTGTGTGTGTGTGTGTGTGTGTGTGTGTGTGTGAATGAGTGAGTGAGAGGAGGAGAGTAGGGAACGTGTGATTTCTGGATCCTTGGAGACGTACGAGGATGAGTATACAGTATAACTACAGAAGGTGTAATGCAATACCGAGCTCTATTGTGATACCTCAGTTACACTTCCATGAAACTGTTTACACAGCGGCTTCCTCGGCCTTAAGGTAAATGGGATAGTGTGACTGTCTTGCATATTCTTCTGCTGATTTCCTCCTGACAATACTGAAGCCTCCTGAGACAGTGCGCAAAAATTATGCTAACGCGTTCACCATTTCTGTAGTGTTTTAATAGTTAATTGTCACGTTTAGATCTTTAACATGGTGCATCCCACACGGCGGTCACACTCATTCTCAAAGAATGAGTTACAGAAATTTCGAAAGTGCTTATAGAATTTAATTACCATTCACTATGGTTGAGTGCATATATCATGTTATTAGTGATGTTATGTAACACATATATAAAAAAAATGCAGCGGCTGGAACGCTAATCATTATCGAATATTTTGAAAAGTGCAGATAAGCTGTGAATATGTGCACACGTTGAGTCATTAAACACAGGCTACGTTCTCTGTCACTTATTATGTGTGGTTACACACAACTCTTGATATACTGCAGGTGCTACAATATTGAGGAAGTCTGTGGTGGTGCCCGTGTGCCTGATCGCGACCGTCCTCCTCTTCTACAGTTGTCTCCTGAGCTTCCAGCCGCTCTCCCTCCTCTTCTACTTCCTCCCGGGGTGTTATGTGGTGTGTACTTACCAATTAGTAATTCTGTTAGTAACACCTGGGATGCAGGTATAGGATTATATCATTACAGTGCAGGGATACAAGTGTGCGTATGTCCTCACAGTGCAGGGATACAAGAGTGTGTGTGTCCTCACAGTGCAGGGATACAAGAGTGTGTGTGTCCTCACAGTGCAGGGATACAAGAGTGTGTGTGTCCTCACAGTGCAGGGATACAAGAGTGTGTGTGTCCTCACAGTGCAGGGATACAAAAGTGTGTGTGTCCTCACAGTGCAGAGATACAAGAGTGTGTGTGTCCTCACAGTGCAGGGATACAAGAGTGTGTGTGTCCTCACAGTGCAGGGATACAAGAGTGTGTGTGTCCTCACAGTGCAGGGATACAAGAGTGTGTGTGTCCTCACAGTGCAGGGATACAAGAGTGTGTGTGTCCTCACAGTGCAGGGATACAAGAGTGTGTGTGTCCTCACAGTGCAGGGATACAAGAGTGTGTGTGTCCTCACAGTGCAGGGATACAAGAGTGTGTGTGTCCTCACAGTGCAGGGATACAAAAGTGTGTGTGTCCTCACAGTGCAGGGATACAAGAGTGTGTGTGTCCTCACAGTGCAGGGATACAAGAGTGTGTGTGTCCTCACAGTGCAGGGATACAAGAGTGTGTGTGTCCTCACAGTGCAGGGATACAAGAGTGTGTGTGTCCTCACAGTGCAGGGATACAAGTGTGTGTGTCCTCACAGTGCAGGGATACAAGAGTGTGTGTATGTCCTCACAGTGCAGGGATACAAGAGTGTGTGTGTCCTCACAGTGCAGGGATACAAGAGCGTGTGTGTCCTCACAGTGCAGGGATACAAGAGTGTGTGTGTCCTCACAGTGCAGGGATACAAGAGTGTGTGTGTCCTCACAGTGCAGGGATACAAGTGTGTGTGTGTCCTCACAGTGCAGGGATACAAGAGTGTGTGTGTCCTCACAGTGCAGGGATACAAGAGCGTGTGTGTCCTCACAGTGCAGGGATACAAGAGTGTGTGTGTCCTCACAGTGCAGGGATACAAGAGTGTGTGTGTCCTCACAGTGCAGGGATACAAGAGTGTGTGTGTCCTCACAGTGCAGGGATACAAAAGTGTGTGTGTCCTCACAGTGCAGGGATACAAGAGTGTGTGTGTCCTCACAGTGCAGGGATACAAGAGTGTGTGTGTCCTCACAGTGCAGGGATACAAGAGTGTGTGTGTCCTCACAGTGCAGGGATACAAGAGTGTGTGTGTCCTCACAGTGCAGGGATACAAGTGTGTGTGTCCTCACAGTGCAGGGATACAAGAGTGTGTGTATGTCCTCACAGTGCAGGGATACAAGAGTGTGTGTGTCCTCACAGTGCAGGGATACAAGAGCGTGTGTGTCCTCACAGTGCAGGGATACAAGAGTGTGTGTGTCCTCACAGTGCAGGGATACAAGAGTGTGTGTGTCCTCACAGTGCAGGGATACAAGTGTGTGTGTGTCCTCACAGTGCAGGGATACAAGAGTGTGTGTATGTCCTCACAGTGCAGGGATACAAGAGTGTGTGTGTCCTCACAGTGCAGGGATACAAGAGTGTGTGTGTCCTCACAGTGCAGGGATACAAGAGTGTGTGTGTCCTCACAGTGCAGGGATACAAGAGTGTGTGTGTCCTCACAGTGCAGGGATACAAGTGTGTGTGTCCTCACAGTGCAGGGATACAAGAGTGTGTGTGTCCTCACAGTGCAGGGATACAAGAGCGTGTGTGTCCTCACAGTGCAGGGATACAAGAGTGTGTGTGTCCTCACAGTGCAGGGATACAAGAGTGTGTGTGTCCTCACAGTGCAGGGATACAAGTGTGTGTGTGTCCTCACAGTGCAGGGATACAAGAGTGTGTGTGTCATCGCAGTGCAGGGATACAAGAGTGTGTGTATCATCGCAGTGCAGGGATACAGGTGTGCGAATGCCGCTTACCGACTTTTTTTTTAGGTTATCCTAGGTAATCCACACATATGCTACTATGTATGAAAGTTGTGTAACTATTTGTGTATACCTGTACCAAAATAAATTTACTAACCATAGTTGACACCCATATGTTGCTTCGTTGATACACGAGGCGCGGCGCATGAGCTCCACTTCTTGTATGTTAGGTTTGCCAGTAAGACTCTCCAGAGGCTGAGATTTCATTTTGTTAATTTTAGGATCAGTACGTCCTGCTTTACTAATACAGGATGAATGATACATTAAGAGACAGATACATTTATACAGATAAACGGAAATAATACTTCTGGTTATGTTATATTAATTAGTTGATTTATTAGATTTGAACCCCCTAGAGAGATTCCTCGATGCCGGTGAGGGATTTAAGGAATTTAACCTGTTCTTCTCTGCCTTCGATTAAATCTAACCGATTACCTCCCACTCTACCAGGCGCTGTATGACCCTGGGATTTTATTTAGGTTTAAATCCCATCGACTTGGACGAGGATATTCTCTAATCCCTATTATACATGTTAAACGAACTTAATTCCAGTTTATACACGGTGAGATAAACACACACACGCATGTACAACAGGCCTAGTGTCTAATCGACATGTGCCTAGGACAAAATGGTAACTAACACTTCCAGTTGTATATGCACCGCTGCTCTCCATGCATGCACATCGAGACATACTCTCTTGAATACACACACACACACACACACACACACATACATACAGCCTCCCTCACAACTTCCTATAGAAGCCTCCCAACCAGGTCAACCCCAGTGCAACCAAACACTCTAAATCAAAACACCCATGCCACATCCAATGCCCCCACCCACTACATTACAAACTCCACCCCCACAGTAACAACCCATAGTTCCTTACCAGGTCTCCCACTTCCCCAACCCCAATATACCTCCCAGACCACAGTCTTAGAAAAGAAGTTGAAGGTGTGGTATACAAATGCAGATGGAATAACAAACAAGTATGAGGAGTGGCACGAAAGAATCAAAGAGACATCCCCAGACATAATAGCACTCACAGAAACAAAACTCACCAGAATAATAACAGATTCAATCTTTCCATCCGGATATCAAATCCTCAGGAAAGACAGAGGGAGGAGAGGGGGAGGAGGAGTTTCACTGCTCATTAAAAACCAGTGGGGTTTTGAGAAAATGGAAGGAATGGATGGCACGGGCGAAAGGGACTACTTAGTAGGAATAATCCAGTCTGAGGGACATGTGATAATTGCAGTAATGTACAACCCACCACAGAACTGCAGGAGGCCAAGAGAAGAATGCGATGAGAGCAACAGAGCAATGATCGACACCCTAGCCGAGGTGGCCAGGAGAGCACACATGGGGGGAGCAAAGTTACTAGTTATGGGTGATTTCAATCACAAGGAGATTGACTGGGAAAACCTGGAGCCCCATGGGGGTCCCGAAACATGGAGAGCCAAGATGATGGATGTGGTACTAGAAAACCTCATGCATCAACATGTTAGAGACACTACCAGAGAGAGAGGAGAGGATGAACCAGCAAGGCTGGACCTTGTATTCACCATGAGTAGTTCGGACATCGAGGGTATCATGTATGAAAGGCCCCTGGGAGCTAGTGATCATGTGGTTCTGTGCTTCGACTACATAGTTGAGCTCCAAGTGGAGAGAGTAGCAGGAATAGGCTGGGAAAAACCAAACTACAAAAGGGGGAACTACTCAGGCATGAGGAACTTCCTTCAAGACATTCAGTGGGAGAGGGAACTGACAGGAAAACCAGTACAAGAAATGATGGACTATGTAGCAACAAAATGCAAGGAGGCAGAGGAGAGGTTTATTCCCAAGGGAAACAGAAATAATGGGAAGAACAGAACGAGTCCTTGGTTCACCCAAAGGTGTAGGGAGGCAAAAACTAGGTGTACTAGAGAATGGAAAAGGTACAGAAGACAGAGAACTCAGGAAAATAAAGAAATCAGCCGAAGAGCCAGAAACGAATATGCACAGATAAGAAGGGAGGCTCAGAGACAATATGAAAATGACATAGCATCAAAAGTAAAGACTGACCCGAAGCTGTTGTACAGCCACATCAGGAGGAAAACAACAGTCAAGGACCAGTAATCAGACTGAGGAAGGGTGATGGGGAATTCACAAGAAACGACCGAGAGGTTTGTCAGGAGCTCAACACAAGATTTAAAGAGGTAATTACAGTGGAAACCAGTAGGACTCCAAGAAATCAGAACTGGGGGGCACACCAGCAAGTGCTGGATGAGGTACATATAACCAAGGAGGAGGTAAGAAGCTGCTATGCGAACTTGACACCTCAAAGGCGGGTGGGACCAGACAACATCTCTCCATGGGTCCTTAAAGAGGGAGCAGAGATATTGTGTGAGCCATTAACAAAGATCTTCAACACATCATTTGAAACTGGGCAACTCTCTGAGGTATGGAAAATGGCAAATGTAGTCCCAATTTTTAAAAAGGGAGACAGACATGAGGCACTAAACTACAGACCTGTATCACTAACGTGTATAGTATGCAAGGTCATTTAGAAGATCATCAGGAGGAGAGTGGTGGGGCACCTGGAAAGAAACAAGTGTATAATTGACAACCAGCACGGTTTCAGGGAAGGAAAATCCTGTCACAAACCTACTAGAGTTTTATGACAAGGTGACAGAAGTAAGACAAGAGAGAGAGGGGTGGATGGACTGCATATTTTTGGACTGCAAGAAGGCTTTCGACACAGTTCCTCACAAGAGGTTACTGCAAAAGCTAGAGGATCAGGCACACATAACAGGAAAGGCACTGCAATGGATCAGAGAATATCTGACAGGGAGGCAACAACGAGTCATGGTACGCGACGAGGTGTCAGAGTGGGCGCCTGTGACAAGCGGGGTTCCACAGGGGTCAGTCCTAGGACCTGTTCTGTTCTTGGTATATGTGAACGACATAACGGAAGGGATAGACTCAGAAGTGTCCTTGTTTGCAGATGATGCGAAGTTAATGAGAAGAATCAAATCGGACGAGGATCAGGCAGGACTACAAAGAGACCTGGACAGGCTACAAGCCTGGTCCAGCAACTGGCTCCTTGAATTTAATTAACCCTGCCAAATGCAAAGTCATGAAGATTGGGGAAGGGCAAAGAAGACCGCAGACACAATATAGTTTAGATGACCAAAGACTGCAAACCTCACTCAAGGAAAAAGATCTGGGGGTGAGTATAACACCGAGCATATCTCCTGAGGCACACATCAATCGGATAACTGCTGCAGCATACGGGCGCCTGGCAAACCTACGGATAGCGTTCCGATACCTCAGTAAGGATTCGTTTAAGACTCTGTATACCATCTACGTCAGGCCCATACTGGAGTATGCAGCACCAGTTTGGAATCCACACCTAGTCAAGCACGTCAAGAAATTAGAGAAAGTGCAAAGGTTTGCAACAAGACTAGTCCCAGAGCTACGGGGATTGTCCTACGAAGAAAGGTTGAGGGAAATCGGCCCAACGACACTGGAGGACAGGAGGGTCAGGGGAGACATGATAACGACATATAAAATACTGCGTGGAATAGACAAGGTGGACAAAGACGGGATGTTCCAGAGATGGGACACAGACACAAGAGGTCACAATTGGAAGTTGAAGACTCAGATGAATCAAAGGGATGTTAGAAAGTATTTCTTCAGTCATAGAGTAGTCAGGCCATGGAATAGCCTAGAAAGGGATGTAGTGGAGGCAGGAACCATACATAGTTTTAAGGCGAGGTATGATAGAGCTCATGGGGCAGGGAGAGAGAGAACCTAGTAGCAATCAGCGAAGAGGCGGGGCCAGGAGCTGTGACTCGACCCCTGCAACCACAAATAGGTGAGTACAAATAGGTGAGTACACACAACACATCACACACACACACACACACACACACAACACACCATACACACACACATACACACACACATTATATATACACACACACACACACACATATATATATATATATATATAATATATATATATATATATATATATATATACATATTCATGCACAAGTACTTTATTGAGAACTCACGCCTGTTATACATCCTCAGGTCTCAGGAGGTGACGGCTCGCAGAAACACACATCTCCAGCTCACTTCGTCATCGAAGAGTCTGATTTCTGTCATCGTCGACCCGACCTTTTCATTGTAGCGTACGTGCACTCGTCCATCGCATCCGTTGAGAAGAGGATGGACACGCGGACGACGTGGGCCTCGGCAGGAGCCTACGATAGCAATGTGAAGATGGCAGTGGTGTTCATGGTGGGGCTAGCCAAGACGACAGAGGAGCAAAACATTGTTAACCAGGAAAGTATACTCTTCCGTGACATTGTGCAGGTGTGTACTCGTTTCTACTTTATTTGTACTTTTCTATTTATTCCTCTCAGTTTGTATTTATCCATTCCTGATTGCGGAGGTTCCGTCTGTACTTTTGGTTCTATCAACCTCACACAACTGGTGTCATAGGTTCCTGTATCATGGGCTATGTCGTATCTGTCTTTAGAACTGTGTTATCTAAGTCATTCCACTTCCTGATCACCCTGAGGCTGACGAAATACTTCCTGACAACCCTGTGACTCATTTGTGTGCAAGTATGTGTTTAATTACTTTCACCATTGGGTCGGCTTCTTGAGGATCGATGGACTGACGTGAATTAGGCACACTGTATCTTTTTTTATATACCCACGTATGCAATTAGCTTCTGTTGTTGTTGTCGAATTCATTATCCTGTCACTGAGCTAAGTATCATAGTGTAAATAGCACACAATTACCGACAAGTTAAGCAGGACACAAGTGCAACACTTAGATACATTCATTGTTGAAGTGTTCATCTAAGCATAAGATTACGTCAGTGGAATAAAGAGGTGATTGTAATATTGGAGACTGTAAAAGTGGAGAGGTAATTATGAGATTATCAGTTTCCTTCTAGGTTAGGCAGGTTCGTCAGGAAACAGCACAAGTGTTTCCTGACGCGGGTCTTTGCCATATGCTGACCCGCAGAAGACCTTGGGTCATCTGACCGAGGCCTTCTACTGGCTTACCGGTACACCCCTTTAAATATTATGGTTAAGATTATAACCATTTCTAGTTCTTTCCTTCTAGCTTGTGTTGTGCTGTAAACTTGGTTACTATCACACTTTTGTATCGTTTCTCCACTTCCTCTGATTCTTAAATATTCAATTCTGTGTTGTTTTCGTCCCTCGTGTTCTATCTTTTTATACTTTTTTATTCATGAATTCTGCCTCAGTAAAATACTTATTAAACCATACACTTTTTCCTCTCTTGTTTCTTGCATTGTGGCATCCTAACTTAGGCTAAGAATTTCTATGTGAATTATTCAGTTAAGTTTATCCATCGTACTTCCAAAAACATTTTTCTCTTACTTTTCGGTTGCAGGTTCTGTATGAGATTTGCTCCCAGGTTCTTTTCCACCGATATTTCAAGTGTTACATTTCCCAGGTGATGCGTCGTCTCAGGCCTCCTTATTTAGACACGATATTTCATAACTAGGATGACACCATAGAGTTGAAACTCGTGGGACTCTCTTCCTCTGCTTGTTACCACTCTTATGTATTATGTCGTTTCATTCTTCTCTCTGACTGTTTGGTAAAAGGACACCAATTAATGTGAGATTTTATTGTGGGAACGTTTCGCTCTCCAGAAGTTTTGTCAAGACTTTATTACGCCTCACTAATCCTGTATGTACCCTCTGTGTCCATGTATTGTTTGTAACAGCTTGACAAAGCTCCTGGAGAGCGAAACGTTGCCACAATAAAATGTCACATTAGTTGCACCTGTGTCCTTTTACCTAAGATATCGTCGGTAATTCTACCATATTCTGTGTGACTGTTTTCTCTTTTTTCGGATACTCCTTTATCCAGTGAAGCACTGTTTCCTGACAGATCTAACCTGTATCTACTGTGCATCATTGTCCTCCTGAATACCATGTCAAAAGCCTTTATACAGTGTAATAATATATAGTGGGTCTGGAAAGAAACAACAGTTATAGGGGTGATAGGAAAAAGGTTGACGGTCTTGAGGAAAAGATTACTATGTTGTGTTGGACAAAATACATTACACTTGATTGTTCCCTCCCTATCTATGGTTGTGAGTTGTGTTTCAGAGGAAGGTGGTATTTTACTCGTCATGTGACGAGCCGCTTACCGGAGCGGTGGTCATGTGACCGAGGGCATTTGACGTTATTTTTTCCGTTATTATTTTCTATCATCTGCTCCTTAAGTGTTATACTTATTTTGGGGAAAACTTTGCACAAACCTAGCAGACTCCTTAGATTGTAGATTCTTTACTATATCTTATCATTTTTCCTCTTGTCCTTGTATAAATGCTTGATGCTGAAGAGTGTTATCCTTTGTGTCCTTTCATTTTAAATTTGACTCTTTTTGTGAACTTGTGTAAGATATTTAAATGCAGAGAGCTGTTTTGTAATTACTTTTTGTAATTTTTCAGGGTAACTACACTGACACTTATCACCTGTTGAGCCACAAGGCTCTTACGTCGCTGCAGTGGGTGACGCAACACTGCTCTCACGTCCCCTGGATACTCCATGCTGACGACGACGTCCTCATCGACATCTTCCTCCTCAGCAAGTTCCTAGAGTCCAGCGCCTCTCCTCACAGTTTTTTGTGCTACACCTGGGAAACCTCAGAGGTGAGGCGGATTGGACGGTGGTGCGTGAGGCCAGAGGAGTTTCCGGAGTCCATGTATCCTCCATACTGTGGTGGTGGAGCATGGGCCATGGCTACGCCTCTTGTCTCGCGTCTTCTTAAAGCTGCCACCCACGCCCCATTCCTCTGGGTAGATGATGCATATATCACTGGCGTCTTGGCTAAATACGCCGACGTTGGACACTCCAACGAGTTGAAAAAGTATATCAGGAGAGAAGGCATCGCTGAGGACGACTTGGGGAAGATGATGATATGGTTTGAACTGAATGACTCTAGAAAGAAATGGTGGCTGAGGCTTCTCTTGCACCACAAGTATCTAGTTTTATAGTTCATGGCATAGTTCAGTGCCCCTCACGTTTTAGGGAGAGGCAGAGAAGGTAGGATATTTGGTCGAAAGCCCAAATGAGTTTTCTGATTTCTTTGCATGCAGTATGTTCAAAACTCTCATTTCGAAGTAAATTTGAATGTTCTCAAGACCAACGAGGGAACTGGAGCAGGAAGGAATAGGGAGTAATTATGTATTTTAATATTTTTAACTAACATTTCTCGTAAGTTGGTGTCAGAAAAGTAGTGGGAAACAAATGAACAGCGATTGATGGGATTCCCCCCCTCCCTCAATCATCATCCACTCCGATTAGTTAGATGTCACAGTGACTTTTTGTGTGTACAAATAAGTTACTCGTGATAAACTGGTCGGTCAAATGATTAAAATCGTTAATGAGTCTATGTAATGACTCTGGAACGAGTAACTGGGCACCTACAATATTTTGGCTTCGATTTAACACACAGAAATATTCATCTCAGGTTGTCATTTTAATTTAAGCTTCGTTTGTGTATTTTAATATTTCTTAATTTATAAATTCTAGTCACTTTAATATAAAATAAAAATGATCTATTCAAGATTTCATAATTTTACTAACAAATATTTTTAACTGGGTTTAAATAAGATTTCTGAATGTTTAAGAGACATATAGGAGCATGTTGAAGAATCAAACACTCGTGCAACATATGGGAGTATACTGAGGAAACGTTTCGCTACAGTGGCTTCATCAGTCCAATACAAAGAAGAAAGGTATATAGAGAGGAGGAGTTTGAGGTAATCAGTCCCTCAGTCTAAAATCAGTGTGTTAAGTCCATCAAGATTGATGGACTAAAGACATCGATTCCAAGCCGAGGGACTGATTACCTCAAACTACTATTTTCTTTCCATGGTTCTTCTTCGTACTGGACTGATGAAGCCATTGTGTGGCGAAACGTTTCCTCACTAAAGATTCCCATATGTTGCATAAGTGTCTCATTCTTCAACTTGGTTTTCTGAACCATTTATCACACATGAGCACGCTGGAGATGAGTGGACTTTGAAATTTGACTCGGTTTAAGTCTGATCCACGAGGGGATTTAAGACCGAAGGTTAGCCAGACTTGTGGTATGTAGGTGAGTAGTAGTGAACTTGCACTCTGATGTGGGTCACTCTGCCATCCTGAGTTATTCTGTCTTGATTGGACACCACATTAAAGGAGTGCTGGTTCATCAAATTAGGCATCAACAAGCTGTATTTTTTTTATTAAACCACAATTGTGTTTCTGGTCGACCTCTTCTCGTCGTATAGGCTGGGTACAGAACTCTGTTCTCTTGCAATTTCGTGTAGGTTGGGTGCAGTCAGTACTCTTGCAGTTTCTTGTAATCCACGAGACTATCCTGGTCATCTCGCTGGGCGACCTGCGCCACCTCTGTGAGACCTGCCAGGTCTTGCCGACAGCAAAACATCTAAGATTAATTTCTAATCTTTATTTCCATCGTCCTGAATCACTCTTACCTCTCAAGCTGTGCAACTTTCAACTCAAAACACAGAGTTTTTTCAACTGAAGTTGACTAGTTCCAACTTAACATTTTTTTTTGGCGCTCGACCACAGTTTTCACATTTCTCTTCCCACCATCAACTTCTCTCTGTTTTAGGGTCATTTCTGGCCCACACGGGTCGGCAAATTTATATCAGTGCAGCAATAATTGGTGGGATCCACCTTGGCTTTAGCTTCCACAAAACACATTTGCACGTCGCAACAATTTGTCCTCATCATGCGTACACATTTTTCATGTGATATCTGTGCTGGACAATGTACCATTGTTGACATTATGGACATTTTAAATTGGTTTTATCGTAGTTCTTAAAGACTCTAAAACTATTTTTTTTAATCATGGGAAAGAGTTAAGGCGCCTGTTGAATGGAAGGCAATGAGTTCGATCCAAGGAGAAGAAGAATCTAATTCCTTGGATCAAGAGCCCCTCACCCTTATCAATGCACTCTCCGTTCATAGAGTATTTACACTACACAAGCTTCATAAACATTATTAATCAAATATACTTAAATAAAACCAAAGACAACCAAAGCTACTTTATTTATCGTAAATGTATATGTACATGTTAACACTGATGTATATTATACCACATTAACGAGGAGTGAAGAACAAACGAGGTGTAACGAGCAGTAGGAACGATCTTCACACCTAATCCATCGTAAAAAAAAAAATTACATGTAAAAAAATGAAATATACATGTTTTTATTATTTGTTAAGGTATTAATTTTTAATCGCATTAATATCGTTTTCCTCTGGATGTCAACACGAAGATTTCAGCTCCTCTCTGCAGCTTGTGTTCCGCTGCTGGCTTTAATTTTTCGTCTTCACTTTTTTATAGGGGTGCCTGTAGGGATCTCGGGGTAATTTTAGAGGAATATTTACATGTTTACCAATTATTTTTGAAGGTAATGTTAACTTGGTGTAATGGTACTTTTTTTGTATGTTCACACTCACTTGACAAATATTTTTAATATTGCTGGGTTAGTTTTACGTTGTACGAGTTAGTTTGTGTACGAATGTATGTATAGTAGTATTTATTTTATTGGCAAGACTGCTACATGACCTCATAGGTCAAGTTTTCTCGAAGTGTTACAGCCCTTTTTTTCATGATGACACGAAAATGACTGACTGCTTCAGCACTCTGGCGCCTCAGACTTATACTTTACATCTGAGGATTGAAATGTCACAAGATACCTAACGTCTGGCACCTATGTCCCAAGACAACGTCTAAAGACTGAGATGTCACACCATATATAATGTCTGAGGACTGAGGTAAGGTCGCACGATAATTCTCATTTACCAACTTAATAAAAAATACAGAAAAAAATTATTTTATGCCTGTGAATTCTTACTATAAAAAACTGTCACTAATTCTTATACTCTAACGCCATTACTATCTGGGTACTAACATTTTTTATCATAATATCCAAACCTATTTAATAAAAATTGTTCACTGAACACTGTCCTAACATTATCAGTACAAAAGTTTTATATGCATCTCGTTTATATTTATTTAGTACAACTACTGGCTGAACTTTGTAAGCATAATTTATACCTTATGCTGTATACCTTATACCCCTCAAGGAAGGTTCCTTGATGTTGGTGAGGGGCTCTTGATTTAGGGAATTGGAACTGTGCTCCAGTTCCCCGAATTAAGCCTGAATGCCTTCCACATCCCCCCCCCAGGTGCTGTATAATCCTCCGGGTTTAGCACTTCCCCCTTAATTATAATAATAATAATGTATACCTTATATACCTTATATACCTTATACACCTTATACTATATACATTTTATAATGACAAGCTTCAAGCCTTTCATCTCATATGTCAAGCTCTTAATATATATATCCCAATAATATTTAAATGGTAACTGCATAGTGAAGAGAAACAGGGATGACAACAGATATCTTCCGTCTGTGACCTGTGAAACTATAAGAGTGAGAGTGAGTTTTGAAGGAAAAAAGGGAGAGTCCACCTCAGACCACTAATGTGTCTGGTCTGTGATGTGGAAAGTTCTATGCAGTTGGAAGTAGCACAATGTTGTGACTGTGGTCAATGGTGACACTGTGTTTAGACTGTGGTCAATGGTGACAGTGTTGTGACTGTGGTCAATGGTGACAGTATTGTGACTGTGGTCAATGGTGACAGTGTTGTGACTGTGGTCAATGGTGACAGTGTTGTGACTGTGGTCAGAGGAAGGTTAAGGACCTAGACATCACAAATATAAATACCATCCTCAGCTCGTTGTACCTGTGTCATCCTCCTCGTCAACATACCAAAACTCTGATCCATTGTTTATTACATAGTTTCGTAGCTTTGGATAGGAGACGCGATGGAAAAGAGGACAGGAGCTGCACTCTAGCTACACCCTCGGGCCCCCCTCAAGGGAGGTTCCTTGACGCTGGTGGCTCTTTAAGAGAGGTTCCTTGATGCTGGTGAGGGGCTCTTGATCTAGGGAATTGGATCTGTGCTCCGGTTCCCTGAATTGAACCTGAATACCTTTTATTCCCCCCACATGCGCTGTATAATCCTATGGGTTTAGCGCGTCCATGTGATATAATAATAATATACCCTCGGCCCTGGGGACGGACAGTCCTCGATGACATCCTGATTTATTGGATTATTCTAGGATGCCAAACTTCCTTGTAAATAATCCAAATAAAATCCTCTAACTTGTCTTTTTTTTCTCTCTTCTAGTAGGACGGCAGGAACACAAGGAGGGCGTGTGTTTGTAGGAAAGATATGCAGTTTACCTGGAGAGTGTGAAGAAAGCCTTTATTTTTTGGCGACGTTTTGGACTTGAAGCTAAATCCTGAGCGAAATGTCTAAGGCTTGCTGAGAATTACACGTCTTCATATCAACGTGCTGGCTTGTTGCCCTAAATGTCACTGGAAGGGTTAACAGATGCTTACTCCACGGAGAAGAGCTACATTTTGCGCTGGTTTAGCATCTTTTTTGTGAATATAATAATTACACCACGGAGGTCTGGAAGGCATGGTTGTCATGGGCGTGATTATCTAGGGCGCGAATACTAAGGACGGGGATTCCAAGGGCATGGGTTTCGTGACCGTGTGTGTTGAGAGAGAGTGTGTCGCTGGTGGGGGTGTTCAGGACATCGAAGTCACCGGCTTGGATGCTCAGAACGTCGAAGTCGCCAGCATGGGTGTCGAGGGCGCGGGTGTTGAGGGCGTGGGGCGGTGGGTGGCGCGGGCAGGCCCTAACGTAGACGGAGGTGTCGAAGACGCTGGTGGTCCTGGTGCTCCTGCGGTAGCGGTAGTGGAGAGCTGGGTAACCTAGACGTCTGGTACGGTACTGCCGCCAACGCTTCCGCAACAGTTCCTGCACCTCGCTGTTCAGAAAGCAGTACAGCACCGACACGAACACTCCCTGGTAAGAGAAAACTGTGAACACTATAAGCGAAGAAAACATGAACACCCTCTTGGGAGGGAAAATAAATACCGACTAGAGCAAGAACAAGGTATGAACACTTCCAAAAATTAATTAATGATTCACGAATACTTTTAATAAACAAATTAGAGCTTCTTTTGGAAATAATAATAAACTAATTGGTGGAGCAAATTTCATGGGGTAGACCCACTTCCAACAAACTGTGATGCTCGTTTGAGAATCCTTTGTGCACTGGTTAATAATCATGTCCTTATGCTTTAAAGGGGTGACTTCCCGGTGGTGTTCCAAGTAATTAAAGCTACCCTTCCCTTCCTTCATTCATTTCCCAGGCAATGTACGCTCGTTATGGTTTTTGTCGATTTCCTATGCATACTGTAATGTTTGTCTTCAGTGTAGTATTGTTAGGTTAATGGATTTAATTACATGGAGATGAGAAGGTGCAGTCTTGCCTAGGAAGAGCCGTGACTGGAACGAAGATGTGATCTGTTGGTGCCCGGTCAACGCTGTTTGGCCTTAATTGGTTTAGTACTCAACTATATTATTCGGTGGCGTTAGGGACACGTTGGGGGTCCTGGGTAATGAACTGGTGGATGCTGTCATACCTGGAGGTACGGGGAACTTCACTTACCTCGTAGAGCAACCGCCCCTCACACCCCACGTAATCATACAAATCAATATTATGGGAACTGTACCAGGGAAAATAATAAAGCAATAAGCTAGGCAGGGGTGGACAAGCCATGGATGACGGTCACTTCTGTGTCAGTTACCACTGCACTGTTCACCGTCCCGCTGTACTCCATGACCTAATAATCACCCCTGTCCCTCTTGCTACCCAGTACCCCTACATCCTTCTCTGCCCGGCGACGCTCTATGACCCTTGTAGGTTTAGAGCTTCTTCTTTATTATAATTTGCGCAGTTATCACTAAGAGACGAATCTCTCGGGGTTGAGGATAAGACACTGGCACCTCTCCCCATCACGTACTCACAGCTGCTCTTGCATCTCTCTGTGATTAGTGTCATGACTCGTAATGACTGATCGCGGGTTCTATCCCCACCCGTGGTATGGTTTATTAGTGGTATGATGCACATTTTCACCTATTTAACTACATCGACGTTTTCGCTTCCGTCCTGATTTACATAATTACCGGGGAAAATGCAAATACCGCGTGAGCATTTTTGGGGTATCTTATCTGGCTAACAATTTGATTTTTTCCCCCCTCTTAACTGATGCGATTTATTTAAACTTAAAAGCAATTAAAAATAAAATTGTAAGCTTATTAATGCGAATGATTTATGTTAGTGTGAATGAGCATACATATTATTGTTAGTATTCTGGGGGAAAGCGCTACACCCTAGAGGTCATACCGCGCCTGTGAAACTGGGTGGCACAAGGGTTGTATTCAAGGAAAGAGGTGGTAGGTGGAGGTAGTCACCTACGATAACTAGATAAGGTAAGTACTCCATAAGAAGAATGTGTTGCATGACCCATACGAATTTAGCACTTCCATGCATTTGTGTAATAATAATAATCACCTGAGAGGAGAGAAAGACAAAGACAGTCCCATAGGAAGACTGCAGGATAAAGGTACTCACCTGGGAGCATGAAGGTACCCACCAGGGAGTACAAAGGTACTCACCAGGGAGAACAATGGTACTCGCCAGGGAAAACAAAGGTACTCGCCAGGGAGTACAAAGGTACTCACATGGGAGCACAAAGGTACTGACCTGGGAGGACTGTAGGAGAGCATTAGTGAGCATGTAAGCGTCCTCCAGGTCACCTTTGTCTCCTGGGTTAACGGCAAACAGAAGATTTGTGATGCCCAGTAACGGGAACAGCAACACCGCTGCCCTGATCGCCTTCCTGCAATACAATAACGCCACAATGAAGCAAAACAGCACCATAGTAACACTAACACCACAAAGACGCAATACAACAGTAACACTACAACAAAAGCACAAAAAATAAATTAAGACATTGTAAAACACAAACACATTAACATTATATATATTAATATATATATATATATATATATATATATATATATATATATTTATATATATATATATATATATATATAATGTCGTGCCGAGTATGTAAAACTGGTCAATTAGCAAGAACTCATTTAAAATTAAGCCTTTTCTAAAATTTTCTCTTATACGTTTAAAGACATATTTTTTTCTGTAATGTTGACGTAAAATTTATAATTTTACACCAAAAGGAACTTAGAAAACTTACCTAACCTTATTTTAACAAGAACAATTTATTTTAGCCTAACCCAACTCAATATATTTTAGATTTGTTTACAATAATTTAATACTAAACAAACACAGTGAAATACATTTTTTTCGTTAGGTTCAAAATGATTTTGGCGAAATTATTGCATACACAAATTTTCACTTGTCCTATATGGCAAGATGAACGTTGCTATTTAAGCCAAGATCGCAAGTTCTGCCTATTCGGCACGACACACACACACACACACACATATATATATATATATATATATATATATATATATAATATGTATATATTAGCGCTTGTAAATAAAAAGAAATCAGAAAAGTAGAAATAAAGGGAGATACATAAAAAAAGGTCTGCATTAGGATGCCAGTGTAAAATATTTTGCTTTAGGATTCATCGTTAATAGAGGAAGTACTTAGCTGAGGTGTGTGTGGGAAACTAGGTGGCAGTAGCTGAGGTGTGTGTGGGAAGCTAGGTGGCAGTAGCTGAGGTGTGTGTGGGAAGCTAGGTGGCAGCAGCTGAGGTGTGTGTGGGAAGCTAGGTGGCAGCAGCTGAGGTGTGTGTGGGAAGCTAGGTGGCAGCAGCTGAGGTGTGTGTGGGAAGCTAGGTGGCAGCAGCTGAGGTGTGTGTGGGGAAGCATAGGTGGCAGCAGCTGAGGTGTGTGTGGGAAGCTAGGTGGCAGCAGCTGAGGTGTGTGTGGGGGAAGCTAGGTGGCAGCAGCTGAGGTGTGTGTGGGAAGCTAGGTGGCAGCAGCTGAGGTGTGTGTGGGAAGCTAGGTGGCAGCAGCTGAGGTGTGTGTGGGAAGCTAGGTGGCAGCAGCTGAGGTGTGTGTGGGAAGCTAGGTGGCAGCAGCTGAGGTGTGTGTGGGAAGCTAGGTGGCAGCAGCTGAGGTTTTTGTGGTGAGGGGGGGAAGCTAGGTGGCAGCAGCTGAGGTGTGTGTGGGAAGCTAGGTGGCAGCAGCTGAGGTGTGTGTGGGAAGCTAGGTGGCAGCAGCTGAGTGTGTGGGGAAGCTAGTGGCAGCGTGAGGTGTGTGGAAGCTAGGTGGCAGCAGCTGAGGTGTGTGTGGGGGAAGCTAGGTGGCAGCAGCTGAGGTGTGTGGGGGAAGCTAGGTGGCAGCAGCTGAGGTGTGTGTGGGAAGCTAGGTGGCAGCAGCTGAGGTGTGTGTGGGAAGCTAGGTGGCAGCAGCTGAGGTGTGTGTGGGAAGCTAGGTGGCAGCAGCTGAGGTGTGTGGGGGAAGCTAGGTGGCAGCAGCTGAGGTGTGTGTGGGAAGCTAGGTGGCAGCAGCTGAGGTGTGTGTGGGAAGCTAGGTGGCAGCAGCTGAGGTGTGTGGTGGTGGAAGCTAGGTGGCAGCAGCTGAGGTGTGTGTGGGAAGCTAGGTGGCAGCAGCTGAGGTGTGTGTGGGAAGCTAGGTGGCAGCAGCTGAGGTGTGTGTGGGAAGCTAGGTGGCAGCAGCTGAGGTGTGTGTGGGAAGCTAGGTGGCAGCAGCTGAGGTGTGTGTGGGAAGCTAGGTGCAGCAGCTGAGGTGTGTGTGGGAAGCTAGGTGGCAGCAGCTGAGGTGTGTGTGGAAGCTAGGTGGCAGCAGCTGAGGTGTGTGTGGGAAGCTAGGTGGCAGCAGCTGAGGTGTGTGTGGGAAGCTAGGTGGCAGCAGCTGAGGTGTGTGTGGGAAGCTAGGTGGCAGAGCTGAGGTGTGTGTGGGAAGCTAGGTGGCAGCAGCTGAGGTGTGTGTGGGAAGCTAGGTGGCAGCAGCTGAGGTGTGAGTGTGGGAAGCTAGGTGGTCAAGCAGCTGAGGTGTGTGTGGGAAGCTAGGTGGCAGCAGCTGAGGTGTGTATGGGAAGCTAGGTGGCAGCAGCTGAGGTGTGTGTGGGAAGCTAGGTGCAGCAGCTGAGGTGTGTGTGGGAAGCTAGGTGGCAGCAGCTGAGGTGTGTGTGGGAAGCTAGGTGGCAGCAGCTGAGGTGTGTTGGGAAGCTAGGTGGCAGCAGCTGAGGTGTGTGTGGGAAGCTAGGTGGCAGCAGCTGAGGTGTGTGTGGGAAGCTAGGTGGCAGCAGCTGAGGTGTGTGTGGGAAGCTAGGTGGCAGCAGCTGAGGTGTGTGGGGAAGCTAGGTGGCAGCAGCTGAGGTGTGTTGGGAATAGGTGGCAGCAGCTGAGGTGTGTGTGGGAAGCTAGGTGGCAGCAGCTGAGGTGTGTGTGGGAAGCTAGGTGGCAGCAGCTGAGGTGTGTGTGGGAAGCTAGGTGGCAGCAGCTGAGTGTGTGGGGGAAGCTAGGTGGCAGCAGCTGAGTGTGTGTGGGAAGCTAGGTGGCAGCAGCTGAGGTGTGTGGGGGAAGCTAGGTGGCAGCAGCTGATGTGTGTGTGGGAAGCTAGGTGGCAGCAGCTGAGGTGTGTGTGGGAAGCTAGGTGGCAGCAACTGATGTGTGTGGGGGAAGCTAGGTGGCAGCAGCAGCTGAGACTTAGCTGAAATGTGTGGGAATCTGGTGGGAGCAGCTTGATTTAGATGTATTGGATGGGGACATTACTAAGGTGGGTAAGTGGTAAGCTGAGGCAAATGGCTTAGATTGGAGTGGAAAACTTAGCTAGAATGGTTGAGAAATTTAGCTAGGATGGTTGGGGACTTGTGTGGGTGGGTGGGGACTTGAGTGGGTGGGTGGGGACTTGAGTCACCTGACTTGCGTTGTCTCCACAGCGTCGTTGGCCTTCAGTTTGGTCACCACGATCCTCATTATATTGACCAGGAACACCAGATTGATCTGCGTCGGGGCCCGACCAAAAGTAAAGTGTCAGCATAATATTTACATTTTTGGGAGGCGATAAACCCGTCAGGGCCAAAGAGTGCCTTAAAGATGGAAGACGATTAGGTTTGATCCAAGAAGAGTGTGTGTGTGCACCCCTCAAGAGAAATTCCCTGATGCCGGTAAATGGCTCTTGGTCCAAGGAATTTGACCCGCTCTCCCATTCCCTGGATCGAGCCTGAATACTTCCTATTCCCCCATGCGCTGTGTGGCCCTCAGTGAGTTTAGCACTTCCCTCAGAAATATAATAAAAATACAATTCAAACAAGAAAATCAACGCACCAGACATAGGCTGAAGACACGAGACAACACTTCGAAATTCTAAGCCTCAAAATGGCTGTAATGAAATACATGTATTTGTGTGTGAGGCTATGTTAATGGAGACTGAACAACTGCTCACATCCTTTCCTGTTGTCAGGAAATCGCTAACCGAGATCTCAGAGTGTAGAGGGATGGAAGGCTGAAATCGGCAGTTTGCACAAATTTAACCAAGCCCAGCTGGTGAGGGGCTCCTGATTTAGGGCATTAGATCAGTGCTCCAGTTCCCTGAATTGAGACTGAATTCCTTCCATCCCCCTCCCAAAGCACTGCATAATCCCTACGAGCTTAGCGCTCCTCCATGATAATAATAGCCAAGCTGAACACTTCTCACGCAAGTAGTTAGCCCCAGGCAGTGTCATGCACCTTCCCTGGGTCACTCAAACCTGGCATATGATGCTGTCACAACAGAGGCTTCAGATATTACCTCAGCTATCAGTGACAGTTATTGTGATAATAGTACTTAGCAATTAACATTAATAATTATTAAACACTAAATAATATACAGAGATCCCCCGTCAAAATGATATTTTTTAGGAATTCTGAACAGTCTACTTGGATTTAGTACTTATGAATAATAATTAATAATGATATATTCACTGTCATCATTATCATCGCTACCACTATCCATCAGGAATTACCATCACCATCACTAATCACTATAACCAATCCCGCCATCATTAATCACTATAACCAATCCCACCATCACTAATCATCTTCACCAGGCAACATCACCTCTATCATCATTTATCACCATCACTGCCAATCAGCGTCACCATCACCGATCATCATTATCGTTGTTACAAGTCAAAGTAGACGAAGTTTTCACCTCCTTCCCTCACAGACGTCGACCTGTCAGCCTCTGACTGGCACAGGAAGAGTCTGATGAAATTTATTTGGGCTATAACTCTTGTTAATGTGTGACAGGTAGAGATATAGGGGAGAGAGAGAGAGAGAGAGAGAGAGAGAGAGAGAGAGAGAGAGAGAGAGAGAGAGAGAGAGAGAGAGAGAGAGAGAGAGAGAGAGAGAGAGAGAGAGAGAGAGAATCATCTTCTGTAAATATTCTCTACGTCATGTTTAGTATTGTACACATTTCCTGCTCTGATATGGCAAAACCTGTTTTCATTTGTTTTTACAAACCTCAAAGTATTTCGCGGAGTGTTCAATCCGTGTGGGCGAGCCGACGCAAGCAGTAAATGAAGGCCTTATCCTCCTTGCACTAATCGCAGCTCATTCTCTGATCCTTCAGGCTGTTGGTGATCAAGTGCAAACATCGATTCTCCCTCAGTCTTGTCCACTATTTGCTTTTGTTTTTTAGGCAGCGTTTCTTTATTCTTCTCTCCTTAAATTTTTGTCTTGTTTGAGCGTCTAGTCTCAGGATGATGGGACTTTCTTAATTCTAAATTTTGTCTTTACTCTTCGTTGTTCTCAAAAACCTACTACACTTATTTTTATGTTCTAGAGTGAAATGTTTGATTCCGTTATCATGATACATCTGAATATTTCTCTTTTGTTTCTAGTAAGATTCGGGTCAGTTTACGTCTTCTAAAATGTTGTCTTAGATCAGCAAAGTTTGCTGTTGTGTCGCTTAGAGGGGATGATTTTGTTTATATTAAATAAAACTGGATACATGAGCAGTGCTGCTACAATATTCTCTGTTATAATTACACAGTGAGAACACTAGCCAACTTTGTTTCCCCTGTTATATTACGCAGGATATTGCTTATACAAGGCTGATGCTACTGAAGTCTCCCAGCCTGAGCTGGGAGACTTCAGTAGTGTCAGCCTAAGCTGGGAGACTTCAGTAGTGTCAGCCTGAGCTGGGAGACTTCAGTAGTGTCAGCCTGAGCTGGGAGACTTCAGTAGTGTCAGCCTAAGCTGGGAGACTTCAGTAGTGTCAGCCTGAGCTGGGAGACTTCAGTAGTGTCAGCCTAAGCTGGGAGACTTCACCCCTCAAGGAAGGTTCCTTGATGTTGGTGAGGGGCTCTTGATTTAGGGAATTGGATCTGTGCTCCAGTTCCCCGAATTAAGCCTGAATGCCTTCCACATCCCCCCCCCCAGGCGCTGTATAATCCTCCGGGTTTAGCGCTTCCCCCTTGATTATAATAATGGGAGACTTCAGTAGTGTCAGCCTGAGCTGGGAGACTTCAGTAGTGTCAGCCTGAGCTGGGAGACTTCAGTAGTGTCAGCCTGAGCTGGGAGACTTCAGTAGTGTTAGCCTGAGCTGGGAGACTTCAGTAGTGTCAGCCTGAGCTGGGAGACTTCAGTAGTGTCAGCCTGATCTGGGAGACTTCAGTAGTGTCAGCCTGAGCTGGGAGACTTCAGTAGTGTCAGCCTGAGCTGGGAGATTTTAGTGGAGCAATGAGAATATCAACGAGAGAGGATTAGTACTCTATTGACCCTAGAACACACAGTGTGTGTGTGTGTGTGTGTGTGTGTGTGTGTGTGTGTGTGTGTGTGTTTATGGTACTCACCTATTTGTGGTTACATGAGTCGAGTCGCACCTCCTGGCCCCGCCTCTTCGCTGGTCGCCACTTCGCCCTCTCTCTCCCTGCTCCATGAGCTTCATCGTATCTCTCCTTAAAGCTATGTATGGATCCTGCCTCCACTTCAGCACTCCCCATATTGTTCCACTTCCTGACAACTCTAGTGCTGAAGAAATGCTTCATAACATCCCTGTGACTCATCTGAGTTTTCAACTTCCAGTTGTGGCTCTTGTTCCCTTGTCCCATCTCTGAAACATCCTGTCCCTGTCCACCTTGTCAATTCCTCTCAGTATTTTATACGTCGTTACCATGTCCCTTCTATCCCTACTGTCCTCCAGTGCCGTCAGGTTGAGTTCCCTTAGCCTCTCGTCGTAGGACATACCCCTTAGCTCCAGGTCTAGTCTTGTTGCAAATCTTTGCCCTTTTTCTAATTTTTTGACCATGTGTGAGTTCCATACTGATGCTGCATTCTGCAATACTTGCCTGACGTACACTGTATACTGTGTCGTAAATGCTTCCTTACACGTCGAAACGCTGTTCATAGGTTTGCCAGGCGCCTATATACTACAGCAGTTATTTGGATGATGTGCACCTCAGGGAATTTGTTCGGTGTGATGTTCACCCCAAGATTCTTTTCCTTGAATGAGGCTTTCAGTCTTTGAACCCGAGCATGTACTCCATCTGCGATCTTCTTTGTCCTTCCCCAAGCGTCATGACTATGCACTTGGCGGGGTTAAACTCCAGAAGCCATTTATCGGGCCAGGATTGCAGCCTGTCCAGATCCCTTTGTAGTCTTACCTGGTCCTCGTCCGCTTGAATTCTCCGCATTAGCTTCACATCGTCTGCAAACAAGGACACCTCTGACTCTATCGTGTATGTGTGCGTGTGTGTGTGTGAGTGTACATGTACGTGTACGTACGCACGTACGTGCATAACAGGTAACTACTGAGACTAGATATAACGAAGTTGAAGTTATGTATTATGGCTCAATACCCTGGTCAATTATATGTATGTTGCTGACCCTCAATTTATCAACTGGAGGAATAAAACATTAAATTTGGCAGGATTATACCGAATAATCTTTAAAAGGAGCTATAGGTATGTTTGTGTGCGCATTAACACACACACACACACACACACACACACACACACACACACACACACACACACACACACACACACACACACACACACGCACACACACACACACGCGCGCATACTCGCGCGCGCACGTAGGTAATTACATTTGTTATTACTTACGCCATTGATGAGAGAGAGAGAAGACCAGAGACTAAGCAGTCTGTGTGTAAGAAACTACAACAGAATCACTCAAAGAGAAGGATCTAAAAATGAACATCACACCGAACATATCTCTAGAGGTACACATACACTGCATGGCACAGTCAGATAGATCAGTGTATGCTAGGGCTGACTTCAGGAACCCTAGCAGTGTAGGACACTGCACCCGACTCATGGCGAATCTTTCGCAGTATATGCACAGTTAATATCTTGTCGAAAAATTTTCGCCTATAGATAAGACCTAACCCGCGATTAAAAGATGGAGGAGCCGAGGCTATTGATCGAGGAAGAGAGAGAGAGATGAGAGAAAATATGATTATGACGGTGTAGATATTCAGAGGATCCAGGAAGGCGAAGAGGGACAAACTGTGTCATATACAAGACACATAAAATAGGGACATGAAGACACAGAGAAGAGGGGCATGATGACAAAGAAGAAAGACGTGAAGACAGAAAAGAGAGGTATGAAGACAGAAAAGGGGAGTATGAAGACACAGAAGAGGGCCATAAGACACAGAAGAGGGAAGTGAAGACACAGATGAGGGACGTAAAGACACAAAGAAGGGGGACATGAAGACACAAAGAGGGACGTGAAGACACAGAAGAGGGACGTGAAGACACAAAGAAGAGGGCCATGAAGACACAGAAGAGGGACGTGAAGACACAGAAGAGGGACGTGAAGACACAGAAGAGGGACGTGAAGATACAGAAGAGGGACATGAAGACACAGTAGAGGGACGTGAAGACACAGAAGAGGGACGTGAAGACACAGAAGAGGGACGTGAAGACACAGAAGAGGGACGTGAAGACACAGAAGAGGGACATGAAGACACAGTAGAGGGACGTGAAGACACAGAAGAGGGACATGAAGACACAAAGAGGGACATGAAGACACAGAAGAGGGACGGGAAAACACAGAAGAGGGACGTGAAGACACAGAAGAGGGACGTGAAGACACAGAAGAGGGACGTGAAGAGACACAGAAGAGGGACGTGAAGACACAGAAGAGGGACGTGAAGACACAGAAGAGGGACGTGAAGACACAGAAGAGGGACGTGAAGACACAGAAGAGGGACGTGAAGACACAGAAGAGGGACGTGAAGACACAGAAGAGGGACGTGAAGACACAGAAGAGGGACGTGAAGACACAGAAGAGGGACGTGAAGACACAGAAGAGGGACGTGAAGACACAAAGACTGAGAAAGAGAGGACGTGAATACACAGAAGAGGGACGTGAAGAAATAAAAGAGGGACGTGAAGACACAAAGAAGAGGGACGTGAAGACACAAAAAAGAGGGACGTGAAGACACAGTAGAGGGACGTGAAGAAACAGAAGAGGGACGTGAAGACACAAAGAAAAGGGACGTGAAGACACAAAAAAGGGACATGAAGACGCAAAGAGGGACGTGAAGACACAAAGAGGGACGTGAAGACACAAAGAGGGACGTGAAGACACAGAAGAGGAACGTGAAGACACAAAGAGGGACGTGAAGACACAAAGAGGGACGTGAAGACGCAAAGAGGGACGTTAAGACACAAAGAGGGACGTGAAGACACAAAGAGGGACGTGAAGACACAGAAGAGGGACGTGAAGACACAAAGAGGGACATGAAGACACAGAAGAGGGACGTGAAGACACAAAGAGGGACGTGAAGACACAAAGAGGGACGTGAAGGCACAAAGTGGGACGTTAAGACACAAAGAGGGACGTGAAGACACAAAGAGGGACGTGAAGGCACAAAGAGGGACGTTAAGACACAAAGAGGGACGTGAAGACACAAAGAAGAGGGACATGAAGACACAGAAGAGGGACGTGAAGACACAAATAAGAGGGACGTGAAGACACAAATAAAAGGGACGTGAAGACACAAAAGAGGGACGTGAAGACGCAAAGAGGGAGGTGAAGACACAAAGAGGGACCTGAAGACACAAAGAGGGACGTGAAGACACAGAAGAGGAACGTGAAGACACAAAGAGGGACGTGAAGACACAAAGAGGGACGTGAAGGCACAAAGAGGGACGTTAAGACACAAAGAGGGACGTGAAGACACAAAGAGGGACGTGAAGACACAGAAGAGGGACGTGAAGACACAGAAGAGGGACGTGAAGACACAGTAGAGGGACGTGAAAACACAGTAGAGGGACGTGAAGACACAGTAGAGGGACGTGAAAACACAGTAGAGGGACATGAAGACACAGTAGAGGGACATGAAGACACAGTAGAGGGACATGAAGACACAGTAGAGGGACGTGAAGACACAGTAGAGGGACATGAAGACACAGTAGAGGGACATGAAGACACAAAGAGGGACGTGAAGACACAAAGAGGGACGTGAAGGCACAAAGAGGGACGTTAAGACACAAAGAGGGACGTGAAGACACAAAGAGGGACGTGAAGACACAGAAGAGGAACGTGAAGACACAGTAGAGGGACGTGAAGACACAGTAGAGGGACGTGAAGACACAGTAGAGGGACATGAAGATACAGTAGAGGGACGTGAAGACACAGTAGAGGGACGTGAAGACACAGTAGAGGGACGTGAAGACACAGTAGAGGGACATGAAGACACAGTAGAGGGACGTAAAGACACAGTAGAGGGACGTGAAGACACAGTAGAGGGACGTAAAGACACAGTAGAGGGACGTGAAGACACAGTAGAGGGACATGAAGACACAGTAGAGGGACGTGAAGACACAGTAGAGGGACGTAAAGACACAGTAGAGGGACGTGAAGACACAGTAGAGGGACACGAAGACACAGTAGAGGGACGTGAAGACACAGTAGAGGGACGTGAAAACACAGTAGAGGGACGTGAAGACAAAGTAGAGGGACATGAAGACACAGTAGAGGGACGTAAAGACACAGTAGAGGACGTGAAGACACAGTAGAGGGACGTGAAGACACAGTAGAGGGACGTGAAGACACAGTAGAGGGACGTGAAGACACAGTAGAGGGACGTGAAGACACAGTAGAGGGACGGGAAGACACAGTAGAGGGACGTGAAGACACAGTAGAGGGACGTGAAGACACAGTAGAGGGACGTGAAGACACAGTACAGGGACGTGAAGACACAGTAGAGGGACGTGAAGACACAGTAGAGGGACGGGAAGACACAGTAGAGGAACGGGAAGACACAGTAGAGGGACGTGAAGACACAGTAGAGGGACGTGAAGACACAGTAGAGGGACGTGAAGACACAGTAGAGGGACGGGAAGACACAGTAGAGGGACGGGAAGACACAGTAGAGGGACGGGAAGACACAGTAGAGGGACGGGAAGACACAGTAGAGGGACGTGAAGACACAGTAGAGGGACGTGAAAACACAGTAGAGGGACGGGAAGACACAGTAGAGGACGGGAAGACACAGTAGAGGGACGGGAAGACACAGTAGAGGGACGTGAAGACACAGTAGAGGGACGGGAAGACACAGTAGAGGGACGTGAAGACACAGTAGAGGGACGGGAAGACACAGTAGAGGGACGTGAAGACACAGTAGAGGGACGTGAAGACACAGTAGAGGGATGGGAAGACACAGTAGAGGGACGGGAAGACACAGTAGAGGGACGGGAAGACACAGTAGAGGGACGTGAAGACACAGTAGAGGGACGTGAAGACACAGTAGAGGGACGGGAAGACACAGTAGAGGGACGTGAAGACACAGTAGAGGGACGTGAAAACACAGTAGAGGGACGGGAAGACACAGTAGAGGGACGTGAAGACACAGTAGAGGGACGGGAAGACACAGTAGAGGGACGGGAAGACACAGTAGAGGGACGGGAAGACACAGTAGAGGGACGGGAAGACACAGTAGAGGGACGGGAAGACACAGTAGAGGGACGTGAAGACACAGTAGAGGGACGGGAAGACACAGTAGAGGGACGGGAAGACACAGTAGAGGGACGGGAAGACACAGTAGAGGGACGTGAAGACACAGTAGAGGGACGTGAAGACACAGTAGAGGGACGTGAAGACACAGTAGAGGGACGGGAAGACACAGTAGAGGGACGGGAAGACACAGTAGAGGGACGTGAAGACACAGTAGAGGGACGGGAAGACACAGTAGAGGGACGTGAAGACACAGTAGAGGGACGTGAAGACACAGTAGAGGGACGGGAAGACACAGTAGAGGGACGGGAAGACACAGTAGAGGGACGGAAGACACAGTAGAGGGACGGGAAGACACAGTAGAGGGACGGGAAGACACAGTAGAGGGACGGGAAGACACAGTAGAGGGACGTGAAGACACAGTAGAGGGACGGGAAGACACAGTAGAGGGACGGGAAGACACAGTAGAGGGACGGGAAGACACAGGAAGAGAGGCTCCGTGTAGAGTTCTCAGAGCGAAATATTGTCACAAAACCATTACCAGCTTCGATGTTGATGAGGGGCTCTTGATCCAAGGAAATAGAAGTTATCCTCCCTTTCCTTGGGATAGAACCTGAGTGTTTGTCATTCCATTCCGAGTGAATGGAAAGTGAAATGAGTTGCATGAGGCAGAATTTGATGTAAGGTCTGTACGCAGTTTCAGTATCAGGTACGATTGGACCCGAGAGGGAAGCGAGACGTAAGGCCAGCCAACTGAAACTTTAATAATAATAATAATAATAATAATAATAATAATAATAATAATAATAATAATAATAATTATTATTATTATTATTATTATTATTATTATTATTATTATTATTATTATTATAATAGGTACCCCCCTCCGAAAGGGAGGTTCCTTGATGCTGGTGAGGGGCTCTTGATCTAGGGAATTGGATCTGTTCTCCAGTTCCTTGAATTGAGCCTGAATGCCTTCCATCCCCCCTCCCCCTCACAGACGCTGTATAATCCGTACGGGTTTAACGCTCCCAAATTAATAATAATACGTACCATGAGGGCAGTTGCCATAGGAGCTACGAGGATCCAGGCGTATGGTAGACCACCATACCCTCGCCAGCAGTGAACCTCATGGTGGAGAGACATGGTAGCTGCCCAGGCCAGGATGAACACTAGCGGAGCTCCTGTCATGGTGAACACCACAGTAAAAAATAAAAAAAAAGGCGCGCGCACGCACTTTCTCTCAGAAGTAGATAGTGTAATAGTCCCTAAACTCTGGTGGTAACACAATGGTACAATACACCGATAGTATGTTAATAAGACAATGCGGGTTATGGGATTTTATTGTGAAGTCGCTGCCTCACCAGGGACTTTATCAGTTCACACAGTGCACAAGGTGTTGATAAGTGCTGAGGAGAGGTCCCACTGGAACATACTAGGCAGGTCTGTCGAATCTGCAGTAATCGCCACAACTCTCCAGCCCCGTGTCTGGTGCTCTTTGTCAGCTAATATAATCACTGGTGGACGAAACGTCGTCACAACAATATGACTTTATCCTCTCTTATTTACACTAAGATGTGACGCAGAAGACAGTGACTGAACCCGCCTACGATCTAGTAGTAACTTTATATTTTCTTTCTATTTTAATTTTCTAAATGATTACATACCCTGAACCCAGCCTATAGTGTACGTAGTAGATAGTGACTGAACCCAGCCTGTGGTGTACGTAGTAGATAGTGACTGAACCCAGCCTATAGTGTACGTAGTAGATAGTGACTGAACCCAGCCTATAGTGTACGTAGTAGATAGTGACTGAACCCAGCCTATAGTGTACGTAGTAGATAGTGACTGAACCCAGCCTATAGTGTACGTAGTAGATAGTGACTGAACCCAGCCTGTGGTGTACGTAGTAGATAGTGACTGAACCCAGCCTGTGGTGTACGTAGTAGATAGTGACTGAACCCAGCCTATAGTGTACGTAGTAGATAGTGACTGAACCCAGCCTATAGTGTACGTAGTAGATAGTAACTGAGCCCAGCCTATAGTGTACGTAGTAGATAGTGACTGAACCCAGCCTGTGGTGTACGTAGTAGATAGTGACTGAACCCAGCCTATAGTGTACGTAGTAGATAGTAACTGAACCCAGCTATAGTGTACGTAGTAGATATTGACTGAACCCAGCCTATAGTGTACGTAGTAGATAGTAACTGAACCCAGCCTATAGTGTACGTAGTAGATAGTGACTGAACCCAGCCTATAGTGTACGTAGTAGATAGTGACTGAACCCAGCCTATAGTGTACGTAGTAGATAGTGACTGAACCCAGCCTATAGTGTACGTAGTAGATAGTAACTGAACCCAGCCTATAGTGTACGTAGTAGATAGTGACTGAACCCAGCCCATAGTGTACGTAGTAGATAGTGACTGAACCCAGCCTATAGTGTACGTAGTAGATAGTGACTGAACCCAGCCTATAGTGTACGTAGTAGATAGTGACTGAACCCAGCCTATAGTGTACGTAGTAGATAGTGACTGAACCCAGCCTATAGTGTACGTAGTAGATAGTGACTGAACCCAGCCTATAGTGTACGTAGTAGATAGTGACTGAACCCAGTCTGTAGTGTACGTAGTAGATAGTGACTGAACCCAATCTGTGGTGTACGTAGTAGATAGTGACTGAACCCAATCTGTGGTGTACGTAGTAGATAGTGACTGAACCCAGTCTGTGGTGTACGTAGTAGATAGTGACTGAACCCAGTCTGTGGTGTACGTAGTAGATAGTGACTGAACCCAGTCTGTGGTGTACGTAGTAGATAGTGACTGAACCCAGTCTGTGGTGTAGTAGATAGTGACTGACCCCAGTCTGTGGTGTAGTAGATAGTGACTGATCCCATTCTGTGGTGTAGTAGATAGTGACCGAACCCAGTCTGTGGTGTAGTAGATAGTGACTGACCCCAGTCTGTGGTGTAGTAGATAGTGACTGACCCCATTCTGGGGTGTAGTAGATAGAGTCTGACCCGTCTGTGGTGTAGTAGATAGTGACTGACCCCATTCTGGGGTGTAGTAGATAGAGTCTGACCCGTCTGTGGTGTAGTAGATAGTGACTGACCCCAGCCTATGGTGCATTAGATAGTGACTGACCCCAGCCTATGGTGCATTAGATAGTGACTGACCCCAGCCTATGGTGCATTAGATAGTGACTGACCCCAGCCTATGGTGCATTAGATAGTGACTGACCCCAGCCTATGGTGTAGTAGATCGCAAAGGGAGCTCCGGAGTCGAAGACATTGGAGGTGAGTCTGGAGTGAAGGAAGAGGCCCTCCACGAACATCCAGTTGATGGAGGTCATCTGAGCGTACATAGTGAGTGCCAGCAGTGTCTTACACACCCAGTCCTGCAACACACACAGTGTTAGTCCTGCAACACACACATACACACCCGCACGCACACACACACACAGAGTGTTAGTCTAGCAACACACACGCAGTGTTAGTTCTGCAACTCGCCAACACGCAGTGTTAGTAACATTTGGATTGAATTCAATACATCTTGGATTGAATCTAATGCTACCACTTGGATTGAATCCAATGCTACCACTTTTATTAAATCCAATACTACTTTGATTGAATCCAGTACCACTTGAACTGAATCCAGTATCAATACTACTGATACCGTTAAAAATACTCCCCGAGGTGCTGGTGCTGTACCTCATAGCATTAGCCTATGGTTTACCGCCCGTGTAGTGAAGATAGGCACTCACCACGTCGCGATAGGTGTTGGTGTGACGGTGGAAGATGAAGGGTTCACTGAGGACGAGCATCACCAGGAAGTGTATGATGAGAGACACCACCAGGTTCCTGTGTACCCGCAGTCGGTCACACTCCAGCGTCCTGCGTCGCGGCGCGTTGTGTGTGGACAGGAAGTATGTGTGTGAGACAATGTGCTAAGTACTTACTATGTGAGACACTGTGGCATAATGTGAACTATTATGTGAGATATCAGAGTTATATGACGCATTATTTTGTCTCGTTCTTTGTAAATATAATAATAATAATAATAATAATAATAATAATAATAATAATAATAATAATAATAATAATAATAAAGGTCAGTATTTAAAATATTTTTAAGAGTATTTTGATGAAGTTTTTTTTTTACAATGATGATAGCAGAAGTATTATTTATAATAATTATTTTATTAGTTATTAATAATATTATTAAGGATAAGCATAAGTCATATTATTATTATTATTATTATTATTATTATTATTATTATAAAAATAGCTTGTCACTTGGACTGGTGTGAGGCTCACCTGAAGTAGGTGAAGATGAAGATGGTGAGGGAGAGAGTGAGAAGGGAGAAGATGGCACCGATGAATGTGATGTATCTGACAGCCTCCACCAGTCGTGATGACCTGGGCTGTGTTGGTGGGAGGGAGGGATGGAAGGAAGAAGGGAAGCAGGGAGGGAAGGAAGAAGGGAAGGAATTAGGGAAGGAACAAGAGAGAGAAAAAATAAGAACACGTGGGAGGGGAAACACTGGAATATAATACTCTCTCTCTCTCTCTCTCTCTCTCTCTCTTTCTCTCCATGTACATTATATTCCACCTCCATCTACACTATTGTGTGCCTGTCCTCACAGGAGGGAGGGACCGTAATAGAGGTGAAGGATCTTCCTCCAAGGACATGGAGATGTTTGGATCAAAACTGATGCCTCTCATTTCCAAAGTTAAATCCTCTACAGATTTAGCTCTTCCCTATTGTGGAAGGCGGCCAGAACAACCTCTGGGAAATATGATGTAATCAAGTTTTGATTTAATATATATATATTATATATATATATATATATATATATATATATATATATATATATATATATATATAATATATATATATATATATATATATATAAAATATAGTGTGAAAGCTCTGTGATGTGATTGGTCTTTTAAATGCTAATATTTTGCCTGTGTAAACTCTAATTTGTTTGTTTTTAATATAGCGGGGAAGCAAAAAATAAATATTTAATCCGTAACATAACATTTTAAAGCTATATATAAAACCAGAGACAATGACATTATATTCCTCTCATATTCTGACGCACCACTTAATGTGCGTCACGCTGATCCCTTCACTATGTACGTCACGCTGCTCCCATCACTATGTGCGTCACGCTGTCCCCTTCACTATGTGCGTCACGTTGCTCCCTTCACTATGTGCGTCACGCTGCTCCCTTCACTATGTACGTCACGCTGCTCCCATCACTATGTGCGTCACGCTGTCCCCTTCACTATGTGCGTCACGTTGCTCCCTTCACTATGTGCGTCACGCTGATCCCTTCACTATGTACGTCACGCTGCTCCCATCACTATGTGCGTCACGCTGTCCCCTTCACTATGTGCGTCACGTTGCTCCCTTCACTATGTGCGTCACGCTGCTCCCTTCACTATGTGCGTCACGCTGTTCCCTTCACTATGTGCGTCACGCTGTTCCCTTCACTATGTGCGTCACGTTGCTCCCTTCACTATGTGCGTCACGCTGCTCCCTTCACTATGTGCGTCACGCTGCTCCTTTCACTATATGCGTCACGCTGTTCCCTTCACTATGTGCGTCACGCTGCTCCTTTCACTATGTGCGTCACGCTGCTCCCTTCACTATGTGCGTCACGCTGTTCCCTTCACTATGTGCGTCACGCTGCTCCCTTCACTATGTGCGTCACGCTGCTCCCTTCACTATGTGCGTCACGCTGCTCCCATCACTATGTGCGTCACGCTGCTCCCTTCACTATGTGCGTCACGTTGCTCCCTTCACTATGTGCGTCACGCTGTTCTCTTCACTATGTGTGTCACGCTGTTCTCTTCACTATGGGCGTCACGCTGCTCCCTTCACTATGTGCGTCACGCTGCTCCCTTCACTATGTGCGTCACGTTGCTCCCTTCACTATGTGCGTCACGCTGCTCCCATCACTATGTGCGTCACGCTGCTCCCATCACTATGTGCGTCACGCTGTTCTCTTCACTATGTATATCACGCTGTTCTCTTCACTATGTGCGTCACGCTGCTCCCTTCACTATGTGCGTCACGCTGCTCCCTTCACTATGTGCGTCACGTTGCTCCCTTCACTATGTGCGTCACGCTGCTCCCATCACTATGTACGTCACGCTGCTCCCATCACTATGTGCGTCACGCTGCTCCCTTCACTATGTGCGTCACGCTGCTCCCTTCACTATGTGCGTCACGTTGCTCCCTTCACTATGTGCGTCACGCTGCTCCCTTCACTATGTGCGTCACGCTGCTCCCATCACTATGTGTGTCACGCTGTTCTCTTCACTATGTGCGTCACGCTGCTCCCTTCACTATGTGCGTCACGTTGCTCCCTTCACTATGTGTGTCACGCTGCTCCCTTCACTATGTGCGTCACGCTGCTCCCTTCACTATGTGTGTCACGCTGCACCCTTCACTATGTGTGTCACGCTGCTCCCTTCACTATGTGTGTCACGCTGCACCCTTCACTATGTGTGTGTCACGCTGCTCCCTTCACTATGAGCGTCACGCTGCTCCCTTCACTATGTGTGTCACGCTGCACTCTTCACTATGTGTGTCACGCTGCACCCTTCACTATGTGTGTCATGCTGCACCCTTCACTATGTGTGTCACGCTGCACTCTTCACTACGTGTGTCACGCTGCACCCTTCACTATGTGTCACGCTGCTCCCTTCACTATGTGTGTCACGCTGCTCTCTTCACTATGTGTCACGCTGCTCCCTTCACTATGAGCGTCCCGCTGCTCCCTTCACTATGTGTGTCACGCTGCACCCTTCACTATGTGTGTCACGCTGCTCTCTTCACTGTGTGTGTCACGCTGCTCCCTTCACTGTGTGTCACGCTGCTCCCTTCACTATCAGCAGGCGGAGAGGTCTTCTATCAAAGCTGTGATGGATCACTGTTGAGTGCTCACTGTGTTGTGTTTGCGGTGAGGGGGATGGGTCGAGTCTCGGCTAGCTCCTGGCCCAGCATCTTAAGCTACAATCGACGGCATTATTGGTGGGCCTTATCGTATCTACTCTTGAAACTGTATTGTGTGTGTGTGTGTGTGTGTGTGTGTGTGTGTGTGTGTGTGTACTCGCCTATTTGTATTTGCAGGGGTCGATTCACAGCTCCTGGACCTTCCTCTTCCCTGGTCGCTACTAGGTCCACTCTCCCTGCTTCAACGTACATCTTAAAGCTGTGTGTGTGTGTGTGTGTGTGTGTGTGTGTGTGTGTGTGTGTGTGTGTGTGTGTGTGTGTGTGTGTGTGTGTGTGTGTGTGTGTGTGTGTGTGTGTCTGAAAAGGGAAGAACAGGTGAAAGTAAGAGACTGTCGCTTTCAGACGATTCTTGATGTTTTTTTTACCCGAAGCTGCACTTTTATTTTTATCTAATTAATGGCAGGAAGTTGCGAGGGCTGCAAGGGCTGTAATTAGCATAATCTTACCTATAAAGTTTTAGGCCCGCGCGCTGGTCGACCCTACGATCGATGACTTGTTAAATCACCGTAACCCAGCGCCCAGCTGCCCCGCCGCTCCGTAACACGGATATATGCAGCGTTGTGGGCCAACACCAGGCTCGTGTTATGGCGATGACCAGCATTAGTTGATTGGTCTCGTGCTGATACTTACATTATCTGGGAAGCGTATTTCTGGGCCTCGCCTGATCATCGCTTACCAGCTTCTTAGTTTAGTCGTCAGGGTAGTGAGGAAAAAAGCTGACGGGCTTCCTGTGTGATAAGATGAGACGCTTATTGGTGCCAGCGCTATGGCTGAGATGTAGCCAGACATGTGAGTTGCTACACCTCATGGTCCAGTGGTGGACCACGGCAGTGGTGGCCACTGTCTCACAAGTGGTGGTATGTGGACCTAGTTGATGGTCTTATTGTGGACCCCAATGGAAATAAGTCAGTCTGACTTCTTTTGGCTTACCCTAGGTTCTCTACACATATGCTACTGTGTATGATAATTCTATGTAACTGTATTTGTGTATACCTGAATAAACTTACTTACTGACCACTGAAACGTTTCGATGGTCGAGAATCGACCGAAATGCTCAAATAACTCCGGGCTTTTCCACGAAAGAAACAAGTAATGTAAGTCAGTCTCTGTAACACTGATGTATCTTTCTAGATATAAATTTTTTGTGTATTTAGGAGGGACCGAAACGTCGTGTGAAGTTTCTTCTCTTGGTTAGGAATTACTTGTGTGTTGTTCCATGGTGTTGCTCTAGCCACGGTAATGCTCTAGCCACGGTATTGTTCTAGCTATGGTATTGTTCTAGCCATGGTATTGTTCGAGCAACTGTATAATTCCAGCCACGGTATTGTTCCAGCCACAGTATTGTTCCAGCCACAGTATTGTTCCAGCTACGGAATTACTCCAGCCACGGTATTGTTTCAGCTTCGGTATTGTTCCTGCCACAGTATTGTTCCAGCCACGATGTTGTTCCACCCACAATATTGTTCCTGCCACAGTATTGTTTCAGCCACGATGTTGTTCCACCCACAATATTGTTCCAGCCTCGGCACTGTTCTAACCACCGTTTTGTTTGACGTATATTTGTTCATAAGAGTTACCCACCTAACCTAACCTAAATTAGCGCTGCTTTAAGCCATGCCTATAATAAACTGTGCCTTCATTGACCACTTATAAGATTTAATAGCCTCCTTAAATGCTGCACGATTATTAATCGTCGTAATAGTTACCAAGGATATATAATTCCGGTATAATAGTTCCCAGGGATATAATCAAGGTATTATCGTTGCCAGGGATATTCTTGAAGTAACACGCACACGTTACAGTTTAAAGAATATTTTACAATGTATAAATTCCTCACTAATTCCACACACAGAAGATATATATGCTGAGAGGTGCATTTCTCTCAATGTATTTATATACAGTGAGAGTTTACTTTAATTCCTGTTTTTAAGGACTGAAGTATTCTTGTCGTGTGGTAAACAGGTTACCATGCAGCCTTAATGACCCTCGTGTAGTTGATAGGCTTTAAACCCCATTTGCCTAGCAACCTAATTCTACAATGTGAGATAAACGCTGACTCTCTGTTATTTTACGTGCCAACATTGAATATTATTCTCAATCCAAATTTTGCAACTGGCTTTAATTAACGTGACTTTTTTTTTTTGCCTGACGTGATTTAACATGACTTTCTGCCTCCCAATTTGCATATGACGTAACTATTTTTATTTCCATTATGATGTTCAGTGGGAAGCGCACACGTGACGTGATTAAACGGAGTTTTGTGGCTTAAATTCTTTTTCCGCCAATTGTAATAAATATGAGCCGTCACTGTTCACTCTCCGAGGTAGCTAGCTTGTTATGTTCACATATGTTAACACTGAAGTAGAACCTGTGTTTATTACATATGTTGGTGAT